AGTTCTCAGATGCTAAAAGTGCCCGTTAAAATGCAGGTTTTCAGGCCCCTTCTCAGAATTTCTGATTCAGTAGGTCAAGGGTGAGAGGCAGGAATACAGTTTTTACGTGGAGGGCAACTATCTTGATGCAGTAGTAAGCAAATGTCAGAACATTTTCAACATCTGGCTTACGGAAGATAAGTATGCATATAATGAAAATAAACCAAAGCCATGAGAACTACCTGAATGCAATCAGGAGAGAGGATAATCTAGGCACTGAGCAAACTAAACTCTGAAGATGATTACATCTTCTCAGGGGACTGCACAGTAAGTTAAAAGTGCCTGCCTGGCTGATGTGATTTAGCGGTTGAGCATCAACCCAGGAACCAGTTTGATTCCTGGTCAGGGCATATGCCCAGGTTGTGAGCTCTTGTAGGAGGCAGCTGATCGATGATGTTTCTCTCTCATCAATGTTTCTATTTCTCCCTTCCTCTCCCTTCCTCTCTCTAAAAAATCAATAAAAATATTCTTAAGCCGAAACCGGTTTGGCTCAGTGGATAGAGCATCGGCCTGCGGACTGAAAGGTCCAAGGTTCGATCCCGGTCAAGGGCATGTACCTTGGTTGCGGGCACATCCCCAGTAGGAGATGTGCAGGAGGCAGCTGATCGATGTTTCTCTCTCATTGATGTTTCTGACTCTCTATCTCTCTCCCTTTCTCTCTGTAAAAAATCAATAAAATATATTTTTAAAAAATATTCTTAAAAGAAGTGCCTGGAGTACAAAGTGTGTCTTAGTTTATCTATGTTAGTACAAAACTAAGTGAAGAGTATCTCAAAGTTGGATCCAAGGATGGCATTTTTGCTAGTATGGTCAGACATTCACTAAAAATCTCCCTACAATTTCAGATTAAAAAAAGTCTGCAATTACTTTCCCAACCTCAACTGTTTATGACAGTATTAGCTAATGGTTCTCAGATACTGTTACATAGGGTGTGGTGCATTTTCAACATAAATTGCTCTTTTCACATTCAGATAAAAAGCTGATGCAATAGGTCAAATTTTATTAAAGCTTAAGGAAAAAAAATGCTGGCTAACCCAGTGCAAATAATTCATTCAATGGAAAAGCCCAATAAAAGGAAGTAGGGCCATATTTATCATGAAGTTGGCTATTTTTGATGCAGCCCACAGAACTGCTTTATTTTGTATTAAATATAGAGGAATCTAATAGAGCTTGTTGCATAAAAATTCATATTTACAAGTAACATAAAGACATTTTTATTTGGTTCACAAGGTTTGTTTTACAAAGGACTCAATTCAGGTTTTCTTAGATGAAGTAGTTTTTCCCTTCTGTATTTTAAGAATGACTTGTTTTTTATATACCTTTTTAAGGTACACAGCTATTACATAAGTTATACTGTACTAGAAAGATACTATAAAGTGAACCTTAAGATAACATAAAGTGACTATCCTATATAATAAAGAGCTAATATGCTAATTAGACCAAACGGCAGAACAACTGCCCAGACAACTTCTGGGCGAAGCCGGGGCTGCAAGGGCCAAGGGGGACTACTGTAGTGTCCTTTGGCCTCTGATTATGTTGCCTTTTCCTTATGTTTTCTCAAAATTCTGACTTTGGTCTTCTAAAGTTTACTCTGCAGGATTTCATTCACTCCTGGAGTGTGAAGAACCTTTATGCCAACCTCAGAAGTTTAGACTTTGCCCTGTAGATTAAAAAAAAAAAAGATTTATAAGTTTCTGAACAGTAGAATATCATAGGGAAAGGAATGTTCTAGGAATATTACCTTCAAGATTGTCTGCAAGAAAGGATTAGAGAAAGGAGAGATAGGAGGAAGAATAACTAGGGGATTATCAAAATGGACATTTAAAGTCATCACAGTGTGACTTCAGAATGAAAATATTAGTTTTCTAGTTTTTCAGAAACTAGTCTTATTTCAGTGAATTAATAGGTAAGGACTCAGAGATCTATTATTTTATCATGTGGGCTTTTAAAAATATTTTCCTTGATTTCAGAGAGAAAGAGAGAGAGATAGAAACATCAATGATGAAAGGGAATCATTGATCGGCTGCCTCCTGCATGCCCACCCACTGGGGACCGAGCCCGCAATCTGGGCTTGTGCCCTTGACCAGAATCGAACCTGGGACCCTTGAGTCCGCAGGCTGACACTCTATACACTGAGCTAAACCGGCTAGGGCTGCCCCTTTTTGAACTGGATTGTCTTCCTGTTGTTGAGTTGCATAAATTCTTTATATATTTTGGAGATTAACACCTTATCAGGTGTATTGTTGGCAAATAGGTTCTCCTATTCAGTGGGTTCTTTTTTCATTGTGTTGATAGTTTCCTTTGTTGTGTAAAAGCTTTTTAATTTGATATAGTCCCATTTGTTTATTTTCCCCTTGTGTCCCTTGCCTGAGGAGATAAACCAGGTATTGGCAAAAATATTGCTACAAGATGTTTGAAATTTTACTGTCTATGTTTTCTTCTAGGATTTTTGTAGGTCATGACTTATATTTGCCTTTTATCCATTTTGAGTTTATTCTTGTGTATGCTGTAAGTTGGTGGTCTAATTCATTTTTTTTGTATGTATCTGTCCAATTTTCTCAACTCAATGTATTGAAGAGACTGTCTTTACTCCATTGTATGCTCTTGAGTCCTTTGTCAAAATATTCATTGACCATAAAGTCATGGGTTTATTTCTGGGCTCTATGCTTTCTTCCATTGAACTATATGCCTGTTCTTATGCCAGTACCAGGCTCTGCGGAACTGAGCATGCTGGTCCACTCTCCAGGATGATGCTGTAACAACAGAGTGCTCATCCCTGGGAAGGTGGTGTCTGGGTCTCCCGGCGACTGAATCCCCACTGACCTTCACCACCCTATGCTTTTTGGGCTCTTCTTCCTATCTCTGTTGCTCTGAATTGGGGGTCCCTGTATGGGGTTGAGACCCCATGCTCAGGGGAACAGGGCGTTTTACAGCCGATATCCTTCTGGCCTCTCAGTTGCCACACCTGGGTTTGGGGGCTAACCCTTTCTGAATCTCTGCCCTACTTACCAGTCTTTACGTGGCTTCTGTAAGTCCTTGGATAGGATATTTCAGTTCAGCTAGGCTTCAGTTAGTTATTCAGGTTGATTGCTCTGTAATTTAGTTGTAAATCTGGTTTGGGGCCCGGAGTGGGTGAGTGTAGCTTGGAACCATCTTGGAATCCTTCTAAAATTATAGTTGACATACAATATTATATTAGTTTCAGGTGCACAATATTGTGGTAATTGGACATTTATATACCTTATAAATTGTTCACAATAAGTTTAGTACATGCCTGACACCATACATAGTTATTACAATTTATCATCTATATTCCATCCTTGTCTTATTTCATAACTCTGCCACCCAATTTAGTAAATAAACCAATTTATTGGCTATTCTTTATCAAATGACCAATACTGAGAGATGCTAAACTTTTATCAAGATCAATTTCAATAATTCTTACAAGAAAAATCAGGAAGATGGAAATTATCCCTCCCTATTGTGTGATCTTGAGAAAATTATTTAAGCATTGTCTTCATTTCCACAGCACTATCCTCATTATATACTGGGAAGATAAAATGAGATATTTATTGAAGGTTCTTTGAGCACCTTGGGCCAGAAGAGCTACAGAAAACCAAGGTGTAATTATTTTCATATCCACGAATTCTCTTGCCATTTGCCTCTTGTTCTAGTCTCCTTGGAAATAAAACAAAGTTGGTCATCACTTTCCACTTAATAACCTTTCATGTGGTTGAAATTGCTATCCTCAAGCAAATTTTTTCTTTTAAAGAAGAATTGCCTGAACTATAAAATAGCAGCCTAGGGCTGTGAGTCAGCATTTTACCTACACACAAAATCAAAATGATTTAAAATAGAAAACACATAATCTTTTTGAAAGACATATATACCTCCTTGTAGAAACTTTGAGAAAACTGGAGTTTGCAAGTTTATGAATAGTTTATTATATTTCAATAAATGCATTTTGAATCAATAAAGCAAAAGTTAAGGACAAAGAGTTCATTACCAAGCCAGTTATTGATTCTCAACTTCCAAAATAAAATAGTATAGGAAGAATATAGAGAAATATGTTTTTTTGTGTGTGATAAAAATTTTAAGTGTCTTAGGAACACTGGCCTAAGGAACTGGTAAGACTAAGAATTTTCAGCAGCTAGTACTTAAGTTATTCAAGTTAATTTCTTCATCTTTTTGATGATTAGAATTATTTGGTTTTTACTTTTTACTATTTAAAATATTTTTTTAAATCATATCATAGGAGTTTGCAAAAACAGAGTATTACATTTTATTGATTCATTTATTCTTTCAGGTTCTTATATATCTTCCTCACTTGTCTTTAGCTATCTGTTTTAGGTTGGACTGTCATATCAAAATACTACAGACTAGGTGACTTAAACAGAAATTTATTTTTTCATAGTTCTGAAGGTTAGAAGTTTGAGACCAAGGTGGCAGCATGGTCAGTTTCTGGTAAGGGTTCTCCCTAGCTTATAAATGGTCCTCTTCTCACTGCATCCTCACACGGTGGGGAGACAGGGAGCTAGTTCTCTGGTGTCTCTTCTCATGAAGGTGCTAATCCCATCATGAAAGCTCCACTCTCATGACCTCATTACCCCTAATTACTCCCAAAGGGCCCCGTCTCCTAATACCATCATATTGGGGAACTTCAACATATAAATTTTGCTGGGGTGGAGGTGGAGGAGGGAGAACAGAGACATTCACTAACAGAAAAAAATTACACGGGCTTCAAACCATTAAGTAGATAATACAGAAATGAACAAGTGAACTTGTTTCCCAAAAATTCCCTTTGTCTTCCTTTTATAGCTTTCTAATTCAATAAGAAAGGAACTTCCTTAAAAATTATAAATTAACAATACTTTCATGAAGCATATACTTTTTAAAATGACAGAGAAAAAAAGGGACATACATTGCACTGGAAAAAACTGAGAAAAAGAGTAACCCATTGATATAGTAAATAAAAACAACTTTTAATTCCCCATACCTTGTTCCTATATCAAATAAAGATTCTTAAAATAATTTAAAAACACTTTGATATCCTTGGAAAGTAATATTATAATACACAGTAACATTTCTATATTACATTTTCATAGGTATTAAAAAGAATAGTAAATTGCATATTTTTCATTCAAAATATAGAAAACTGAATAGTAAAACAAAACTGACAAGATTATAATTGGTTTGTGCTGGATTTTAACTAATTTTAATAGTTATTTTTATTACATACTACATAAATTTGAGGGTATAAGAAATATTTTTCTTGATTGCACAAAACTCTTCATTTACAAAATACATACAGCTAAGAACATTTCCACAATGACCATAAAGTGAATAGAAAGCATTTCTCAAAATTTCAAGTCGAAGTGTAGGGGAAAGCAGAATGAAAGGTGACTGAGATCCAGAGTACAAGTGATTGGCAAGTTCATTCAATCAGCAGGTTGCAGAGTTATGGATGGGACCCAGGATTTTCTTGTCTAAAAATGCTTCAGATTATCATATTCAAGAAGAAGAGGGGCAAGGGAAATCTAATTATAGTTTGGATCACTTCATACCAGAAAACAACTGTAGAAACTTTTAACTTCTCAAAACTCAATCAGGTGTGTGTATGGTCCATTGGTATCCAGCTTTAACACCTGCTTGTTCCCATAAGTGCCATGTTCCACCACAACCCCAGCTTCAGCACACTTGCTGTTCGCAGCCAATTCTTTTTCGCAGAGACTCACAAATTGGGAATAGAGTTCTAACCCTTCTTCTTTCCCAGAGTTAGAGTGATACTGCATGCTTCTGCCTTTCACTTTCCCCCCAAGGGTGGCTTGAGGAACGATGAGAACGTTGCCAGGTAGATCCAATATAGAGACGAGCTTGCCATTTTCTGTTTCGCTTAATTTCACATTTAACAGTGTATTAACTGGGTGGGGAAGAAAGGAAAAATGCTTAGAAGTGAAAAACAAATGGAGAAAAGAAAAAAAAGAAAACCAACAATTCTCTAGTCAGCAAATCTCATATTTAAAACACAGTTTTTCAGTTCATGCTTTTTACCCAAAGTCTTTATTTAGATTTTAAAAACTGCTTCACTAAGCTAAAAGATCAAAGAATGAAAAACAAGGCAAATTTTATGCAGAAAATGGCATAATGCTTTAAGTGTGACTTGGCAGTTAAGATTTCCTAACAATAAGTTCATCCGGAAAGAACTAAAATAACTGTATACTGAAACCTCAAAATACAGGGTGTCCCAAAAAATGTATAACACACTTGGAATGATTATAAAGCCAGTTAATTTACATCAGCTTATTTTTAAAATTTAAAAGAATCTACAGAGATGAATACTTTTTTTTTTTTGTCAATGCCTATTTTCAAACTGATGACCGTTCTGGTCCAGGCACTGCTGATAACTCGAAGCAATGGTATCAAAAACATCAAGAATCATTTTGTTCAATGTTTGTGTGCCCTCAATTCGTCAACTGTTGCCGGGTTTTGTACTATAAACTTTATCTTTTATGTATCCCCATAAAAAAAAGTATAGTGATGCTTTAGGATAAATTTTCTTTGTTCAAAGCTTAGTCTGGCTTCTTGCATTATTTCAAATCACTTAAATCTGAAAAGAAGTGAAAATTAAGTGAGCTGTCAGCTGATAAAGTGTGTATACATTTTTTTTGGAACACCCTATATTGTTGCTCCAGGGGGATACATGAGAAGATTTTGCCTTCTTGTTCCTTTCTACATTTCATAAGCAAACAGCATTAGAAAAATACCGTGATAAATCCTCCTCTATAAAGCACCAAATTCTGCTTTATAAAAGAACTAGAGGCCCGATGCACGAAATTCATGCAAGAGTAGGCCTTCCTTCCTCGGGCTGCCGGCACTGGCTTCCCTCTGGCACCCGGGACCCGGGCTTCCCTCGCAGCCCCGGCTTCGTCCAGAAGGTCATCTGGAAGGTCATCCGGAAGGACATCTGGGAGGACATCCAGTCTAATTAGCATATTACTCTTTTATTATTATAGATATTAGCCCTGGCCAGGTAGCTCAGTTGTTTAGTGTTGTTCTGATATGCCATGTTGCAGGTTCAATCCCCGGTCAGGGCACATATAAGAATCAACCAATGAATGTATAAATAAGTGGATCAACAAATCAATGTTTCTCTCTCCTCTCTTTCTCTAAAATCAATCAATAAATTTTAAAAAAATTTTTATGCTAAGTGTCCGGTTGTCGGTTCAACCAATCAAAGTGTAATATGCTAATGATGTGCTAAGGCCGCTCAACTGCTTGCTATGACATGCACTGACCACCAGGGGGCAGATGCTCCAACCAGTATGTTAGCTTGCTGTTGGGGTCCAGTCAACTGGGACTGAGCAAAATGGGCCTGACATGCCCTTGAGCCCTTACTCGGCCCCTCCCCGGCTGGCCAACCTCCCGCGTCCCTCCCTGGCCCCGATCGTGCACTGGTTGGGTCCCTTGGTCTGGCCTGCACCCTTTTGCAATCCGAGACCCCTCAGGGGATGTCGGAGAGCCAGTTTCGGCCCGATCCCGCAGGCCAGGCTGAGGGACTCCACTGGTGCACGAATTTGTGCACCGGCCCTCTAGTATTAAATAAAAACCTTAGTGCATTTATTATTTTAAACTTAGTTGCATAGAGTTCTAAGCTGAAACAAAAGTACCAGTTTCAATTCCATTATAAACTAGCTGATTTACAATTATTTCATAATCTCAAAGGCCCTATTAATATGGACTAACCATTTTACAAATATAACCCATGGGAGAGGAGTAAAATTGAAAGGAAGAATCATCAGAAATTCATTGTTACAACTGAAAAATAAATCAAAAGGTTTAGAGTTACTGGCATATCTTTATTTACACACAAGATTATTTTTATGGCCCTAACCCAGCCGTGGGCAAACTACGGCCCGAGGGCTGGATCCGGCCCGTTTGAAATGAATAAAACTAAAAAAAAAAAAAGACCGTACCCTTTTATGTAATGATGTTTACTTTGAATTTATATTAGTTCACACAAACACTCCATCCATGCTTTTGTTCCGGCCCTCCGGTCCAGTTTAAGAACCCATTGTGGCCCTCGAGTCAAAAAGTTTGCCCACCCCTGTCCTAACCTGTTTGGCTCAGTGGATAGAGCGTTGGCCTGAGGACTGAAAGGTCCCAGGTTCAATTTGGGTCAAGGGCATGTACCTTGGTTGCGGGCACATCCCCAGTAGGGGGTGTGGAGGAGGCAGCTGATCGGTGTTTCTCTCTCACCGATGTTTCTAACTCTCTATCCCTCTCCCTTCCTCTCTATAAAAAAATCAATAAAATATATTTAAAAAAATTATTTTTACGGCACTTATGAATTTAATACTGATAGCTAATAAGAAGTATCACAGTCACCATAAACATTGATGTGTACCAAAAATTCTAAACTTACAAAATCTTTAGATCTCAACATTAGCCATTTTCAAAACAATAAACAAAAGAAATGCCTAATATGCATAGCCTTAGGATCTTCCTATCTCTATCTATATATATATATAAAAGCCTAAGCGACCATTAGGACTAGATGACTGGAACGACCGGTTGACAGTCGCTATGATGCGCACTGACCACCAGGGGGCAGATGCTCAATGCAGGAGCTGCCCCCTGGTGGTCAGTGTGCTCCCACAGCCAACCTCCCATGGCCCCTCCCCCCTGCCGGCCAGCCCCCCTAAAGGCTTCGATCGCTGGCCAGGCCAGGGGACCCCACCAGTGCACAAATTCGTGCACCTGGCTTCTAGTAAAGTATAAATAGCTTCTGCTTGTAAACAATAGTTCTGAGGGGACAAATGGTAAAATAAACTATATAAAACTCATATTTCTGCCCAATAATTAGGCTTGAAAAAGTATGCTTTCTGGTGGGCTAGTCAATGTTTTCAATTATCATGGAGTCTGTAGTAAATATTAGTAAGGATTCAGTATGATTGCCCCACTCGACAAATCAGGAAATTAACCTGGTAAAAACCTGCCCATCCAAATGAACTCCTACCCATTTTTTTTTTTTAAATCCTCACTGGAGGATATGTGTGTTTTTTAAAATTGATTTTAGAGAGAGAGAAGGAAGAGAGGGAAAGAGAGAAACATGGATGTGAGAGAGAAACTATGAATGGTTGCCTCCCGTATGCACCCCGACAGAGAGATGGAACCCACAACCTAGGTATGTGCCCTGACCAGCAATCGAACCTGCAACCTTTTGGTGTATAGGATGATGCTCCAACCAACTGTGCACCTGGCCAGGGCAAGCACTATCAATTTTCACTTAACTTACATCTATTTTAAAATATCACTACTATTCTCTATTACAAATAGGACTTTGCTGCATAGCCAGCAGTCCTGATTGACTGCTTCCAAGGAAACAGTAACTCTCCAGAGCCCTTCATTCCAGCGGAACGCACCATCTAGCTATCCAGGCCTCAGGCCAGTAACAGAGTAGGGAGGTAATTTTGGAATAAAAGGCCAGAGAGGTTAGTACAATTTTTTTTGAGGTAAGTACAATTTATTATACTTCTACACGCCTACCTCTATAGGCTATAATTGAGAATTACATTAATGCTATTGATATACGAATATCAGTATGCAGAAATAAATATAAATACAAACTGTCAGTAAATAGAATTAAAATGAGGTAATGCATTAATGGCATGTTGGAAACTCAACGATCCCAAGACAGGTTATCAATCAAGTATCTCTAATGATGTATACAGAAAGTTAAGTTTTGACAGGTCCCTGGATCTCAGGCCAATTATATTGAAGATGAATTGAGGAAGATTTGGCACATCTGTTAGCCATGCTATTTCAGCCTTTATGGATATAACTGGTTGTTATGTTCCCAAGGGCACATGATTTGATTGGAAAGATCTGAATCCATGTAATAAGTATGAGGTGGGGTTGAAGAGAATCCCATCATACGGGTTTACTTTGCCTCCTGGAATAGAGGGAAATACAAGCTAATGCTATCCATAGTAGATGGACTTATTTTGCTTATAACTGACACCAGCAGAATGTGATTCTTACAGTCACAGTTCTTTACTGAGAATCATGATATACACTAGTAAAGCTTTGTGTTAAACTATTCATTAAAAGAGTTAAGGCGAACCTCCTCAGTGTTTGTAATTCACCATAAGTTATACATGTATTCCAAGTGAACTCAGGAAGATATTTTTGGAAGCACGCAGGATTTGACTATTATAAAACAAAAGGCAGCTTGGATGTGGCTGGTTCATTTCATCTTATAACTAAGATCCATTTAAAAATATATAAAAACAACTTTAGGACATCAATCTTACATCACAAGGACAAAAACTCTCTTCCTGTTCTTGAAGATTTCTACCATACTATTTTATGATTAGTAAAGATTTAATTCAAGGAAAAATATTAACTCAGGAAAATGGACAGAATGTGTAATTCCCAAGCATTAGGTCCTGGCAAATAACCCTCTGTAACAGGAGCCCTCATTTCATGTTCTCTAAGCTCCCTATTATCCTCTAGATTCAAATTTTAAACCACTGCAGTTACCGGCTTTCCATTCTCACCTACCGTAGGTCCCTTAAGTCTAGTTTTAATCCTTGGACAAATTGTCAAACATGTTCGATGTCTTAGTATAAAATTCCCTCTAGGCGTTTTAGCCGTTCGTTTAAGCTGTTCTTCATTGAGCTATTTATCCTGGAGTTCCACTACTTGAAGCTCTTTTAGGTTAACTTCTGCATGCTTCAACTACCCATTTGTGTAATTTATGTCTTATTAATCAAACTAATGGGTACTGTCCTTCATTCATCAAGAGAATATAACAAGTCCCCAATTTAGGGATAGCGCCATTATTTTAGGGTTTGGGGGGACATATTTATTATATCAAATACTGTCTTGAGACTGTATTTATGTAAATATCACACAGAATGGGCAGTGCTATGGACCATCCAGTACACTGGAAGGCTGCAGCAGGTCAATTATCGCTCAGAGATGCTTAAACATTGACTCTGCTTTCTCTGCCCCTGGATGAGATGTGGATGTCACGACACTGAGCTTGGTTCAAGAATTAGAGAACCTTATATTTATACACATTTCCTACAAATAAATGCATAAAGGGCTAATATAAATTCTCCCATAATAATGATGCCAACCTGAGCTGTCCAGATTTGAAGGGGCCACATCTTATGCATCCCATGTCACCTACATGCTCCTGTTAGGGACTCTGGGAGATAAGAAAACGATATTAAGAAATGCAGCATCTGTTTCTCCCTATATGTGGCCACCCTGCTTCCAACAAGTTTTGGAGAGAGAGAGAGAGAGAGAGAGAGAGAGAGAGAACACACACCATTCTATAAGTTTAAAAGAATGCCACCACACTTCTTTACTTTAAACATTGGAATAGGCAAACAGCTAAAGTCAACAACAGTACAAAATTAAGTCATTTACAACTTGCCAGTAAATTTAAGATTGTGCCTTTTGCCCCAGGAAACTTATCTATCTATTGCTACACATTCTCACTCAAAAAAGAAACAACATCAAACACGTACCCATTTTTGGAAGAAGTTCTTTATCAGCTCCCTTGAAAAAGCACACGTAGATCACTAATCCTCTCTGAACCTATGAGAAATCACCACAGTAAATGCAGATTAGAAACTTCTATGTAGAGATAAAGAGGTAAATGGATAAAATTTCACAACTGTTACAGATGTAAAGTTTAAAGGCAAAACAGAAGTTTTTACAATATTGATTTCTTAAATATGTTGAGAAAACAAAATCTTTCCAATATTCAATCTCCTCAATTATTTCTTTCAAAAAATTAAGTTTAAAATACAGCCAACATAGTGAAGAACACAAGATTTACCTTCAAACATTTACTTCTAATCAAAATCATTAGACTATGAACTAGTTTCCTCCCCCTAAGTAAGACTGACAGACTTAGAAACATTTAGTTTGCATGGCCCCATTTATTCAACACCAAATGAATTTGCGTTATATCTCATACAGCTGATGACATCATCACTCTATTCCTCCTGAATAGATCATGAAATTACTTGCAGATCATAAAAATAAGGGTCTGGTTTTATTTCAACAAACTCCAAGAAACCTTCCAATTATTTCTTGTTACTGTTAATGCTTTAAACAAACATTGTTATTAGGCGTTGGAAACTGCATTCATGATACTAAGTTCTACATCACGAGGTTGTTACGCGAAATGTAAGCTTATTTGTTTTACATAATGACTTGGATATTTCTTCATTAGCTCTTGTAGAATAGGGACTATATGGGAAAGATACACTTGATGAATTTGATTTTGCTGCTGAGTAAATCATTAAATATTTTATTCTGTAGATTAACCCTGTTTTATCCAAAAGTTATTATGAAGATTAAATAAGTTAATATTTGTAAGGTGCTTAAAATAGTGCCTGGTTCATAATAGAAGCTTCATAAGTATTTATTAAATGAGGATGTAAGAATAAATTTAAGGGATGGAACACAATTTATTTTACATTTAACTCCCAAAGCACTTCACAGACTGCTTTGTATACAATAGGAACTGAATTTATCTGTTGACTGCATTTAAGTTCAACTTTACCTTATGGGATCTATGTATTATCTAAATAGTCTTCTATGTAAATATAAATGCAGTTCTGATCTCACACCTGATTTATCTGCAAAAGAGATACAGTAATTTTTTAAAGGTACAGTTGTGCTCTGGAACAAGCCAGGGCCTCCAATGTATACTCATAACAAGGAGCTGAGTGACAGTCATCTGCACCATTGTCACAGGCCTCCCCGCTGGGTTGTTTTAGCATGAGCCCAAATCTTAAGCATATCATGTTTGCACACTTGCAATGTCAGAATTAAATGTCTAATTATTTGCAGGAACAGACACCTGTTCTTTCCACTTCCCACGCTACCTCCTCATAGGGTATTTTCTTTTATTTTATTCCAATAATAGATCTTAAACTGTGACCTACAAATTCCCCTGTTCAAGTCAGAATCACTTGCCTTGTAGCTTCTTTCAGTATAAACATATGAAATATATAGAAAAGTACAGTTAATTCTCACTGTAGCTTAAAAAAAGTTCACCTCCCAAGAAGAAAAACCTTAGTTTGTGAAAACAAAGCTCTAAATGAATGAAACTAAAACATGCAAAATAACCTTCAAATCTTTTGACAATTAAAACAAGTTTTTAAAAAATTGGAACTTTTGATAACAGAATAGGGGAGAGGATGCTTGAGAAAGAGAAGAGAATTTACTTTTTCACTATCTCTTTATACTAATTTAACCATGTGTAGGAGTGAAAAAGAAAGCTTTAAAATAGCTTTTGGCCAAAACCGGTTTGGCTCAGTGGATAGAGCGTCGGCCTGCGGACTGAGGGGTCCCGGGTTCGATTCCGGTTAAGGGCATGTGCCTGGGTTGCGGGCACATCCCCAGTGGGAGATGTGCAGGAGGCAGCTGATCGATGTTTCTCTCTCATCGATGTTTCTAGCTCTCTATCTCTCTCCCTTCCTCTCTGTAAAAAAATCAATAAAAAAATTTAAAAAAAAAAGCTTTTGAAGTTAATAAATGCAAACTGATAGTTTGGAAGGCTGCTAAAATATTTGTGATTTTGCATAACGAGAAGTGGCATGAAGAATATAAAAAGAAAGAAGAATGGCAGAAATCTAAAGGATTAACAGTTTGGGATTTACTGTCCCATGAGGCAACTATAAAAATAGGCAATTCTCTGAATAAGATGGCAAATATCTATCTATATAAAACCCTAATATGCAAATCGACCAAATGGTGGAATGACTGCTATGACGTGTACTGATCACCAGGGGGCAGACGCTCAACGCAGGAACTGCCCCCCAGCCTGTAGGCCTCGACCTGCGGGGGTGGGGGGCAGGGCTGGTGCCAGGCCCCAATCATCTCACTGGTTGCCCCACAGATTGGCCCTGATCGCCGGCCAGGCCTAGGGACCCTACCCACGCATGAATTTCGTGCACCGGGCCTCTAGTAAAAAGAATAAAATGTCAATATATGGAAGAGAAATCAAGATCTCAGAAGAGGCCATAACAAAAATAAGGAGTAAGAAACATGAATATTTGAAAGAAAAGGGGAGGGGAATATATAGGAATATTTATGCTTATAAGTATTTCCAACTTGGCAGAGGGTAACAGATTCTGATTTAAGAATAATCAGCCACATATCATAGTTATGAGCAGTATTTAAATAATGACTATGATTGTGTTAAGGAATGCTAGATCTGGGACCAAATTCAGCAGGGAATGAGATGCTCCTATATTAAAGTTTCTGAGTACCTCTAAAAGTCTTCGTTATAAACTAATATTTCCCTCCTTTCATCTTACTCCCAAAGTAAGTTTCTTGGAAAATCTCATTTCTATGTTGACCCAGCTGCTGTCAACATAAAGGGAAAATCAAGTCAAAACGGACCTTTAATATTTGCAACAGATTTAACCAACAAGCTCGGACCATCTCAGCACAGCAGTGCCAAGGGCTTGACAAGGCTCTTTTAAAGCAAGGGGTCTGGGACAAATAGGTCTCCAGTCCACCGAGGCGGCTGGTGAGTGCAAGTTCAAATATCCGCGGGCCAAGCAGGGGACGTGCTCCCCCTCCGAGGCGTAAGGCGGAGGGAGAAGGCGCCGGCCGGTGGTGCAGGGCTGAGGCGAGGGGCGAAGCCAGGCAGGCCACTGTGGACAGGTTTGGGCATACCGGCCTGAAGTTCCGAGCCGCCCCGCAGCAGGTGCGGGGGCCACGTGGCGGCCGCGAGGAAGACGCGGGGGGCGGGGGGGGGGACCAGGCGCAGAGACAGCGCGGAAAGAACCGCCCCTGCGCGCCCGAGGATAGTGGGAGCAGCTGGGCTCACTTTACCTCCACCCACTGGGCCGCGGAGTCCCCCTCGGCGGGGCGCACTTGCAGCCGGGCGTGCAGGCACTGCTGCAGGAGCGCCCGGGCCTGCGGCGACCGGCTGCTCCCAGCCATGGCGGGGCCCACGTGCCGACCCCGGGTTCAGGCTGCGCCGTGCAGGCTGTGCCCTCCGCGCGCAGGGAAGGCGGCGGGAGTGGCGTCCGGATCGCTCGGGGCCCCGCCCTCATAGGGGCGGGGCCTCTGCCTGGCCCTGGGGTGACTCCGATGTGCGGTCTTCTAAGACTACGTACGCACCTACCTGCTTCTCTAGTGGGTGCCCAGTGTATATTTTTAAACGAATGAAAAGACTTATTGGATCTGTTCCCTAAATTTTCAGACATTGAAAAAAATTAAATCTGCTTAAGTCCATATTATGATGCCATGAAGATAAGTAAATAGAATCAGTTGAATCACAAAATGTGAGCAGAGATGAAACTAAAAGCTGTAGCTTTCAAAAAAAAAAATTTTTTTTTACCCCGAACGATAAAACAACGCTGCCTCCTCTGTAAGGAATGCTATAAATCATTCTGATGCTGCAGTTGTGGAAAAGTTTTGGTATGCTATGTGAATACACATTTGGAGATCAATCCTTTATTGTTTTTTTAAAATCCTCAACCGAGGATATTTTTCCCATTGACTCTTAGAGAAAGAGAAACATTGATGTACATGCCCTTGACTGAAATTGAGCCCGGGACCCTTCAGTCCTCAGGTTAAGGCTCTATCCACTGAGCCAAACTGGCTGGGGCTGGAGGTCAAACCTTTAGAAGACATCCTTGCTAAAAATATTCTTACCCAAGAAAGTGTAGGATTGTTAATAGACTTTTTAACCTGCTACTAATACAAAAATAAAACGACATATAGGCACACACTGATATTCAATTCTGTGATGTGTTTCCTGTAAGTAGACATTAGGATTTAAATGAAATTAACCAAGGGCTTGATTTTCTTTCCCACATACCGTATTCCTTGAACATCCATCAGATTAGCATTATTTTTCTATGGGCTTGGAGGACTTAGATGAGGAATAATAGTCTTACCCTGATTGCATTACCCAGGTCATTGATTTGGGCTGTTGGCACAATGTGCCTATACATTCGGGTCTGTTGTTTTTTAGTAGGTGACATCACTGATAGTGTTGCTATCCATACAAAATAGTGTGGTGGAAGAAAATAGTCCATGCATAATCAACAGTCTTTTCTACACAAAATTGAAGCTGCCTGTTTGCTGGTTATCTGGAAACTGCCTTACACTTTTTGTAAAAAACGAAAAGCAAAATCTCACATTATCTCTGCTGCATTGCAGGGGTTGACATTTTAAAACATTCATTGACATTTGGAAAGCACAGACAAGTTACATTGTCTGCACCTTTTTTTTTTTATTGTTTAAAGTATTACATGTCTCCTTTTTTCCCTCCATTGACTCCCGCCCCCAGCCACTCCCACCCCAGAGGGTAAGCCCCCACCGCCCCAGTGTCTGTGTCCATTGGTTATGCTAATATGCATGCATACAAGTCCTTTGGTTAATCTCTACCGCCCCCTCCCCTGCCTTCTCTCTAAGGTTGACATTGTCTGCACCTTTATGTCATTATAACTATTGAGTCTCTTTTCTTTTTCACTTCCAGACACAAGTTTTACAGGGCGTAAGGAATTTTCACATAGAGGCCCTTAGCATTGACCTAAAGTCAGAAAGGCCTTTGATGTCTGTTTGTATATGGGTGAAGGAGTTGGAGAGGTCTTTTGAAAATAGGGTATGTAGTTACCAGAGATCTTTCCATAGTGAAGGGACTTTAGCAAAGTGGAAAATCTTTCCTGTGAATAGATGGAGTCTGGTTGGTAATGGTTAGCATCTTAAAGATCACCAATTACTTTAAACATTCCTTCCTGTTGGGTAGGGATCTCTGGGATACTACTATAGGTAGAACAGTAATAGGTTGTGGCTCACTCATTTTTCCTTCTACCTGAAGAGGGCAGTAGATAGTAGGCACCAAAGAGAAAGTATTTATTTTATTTATTTTCTTTATTTTTTTGAACATCTAACCTCATTCCACAAAGAATTTAAGAAGGCAAGACATACATACACTAAAATAGTGAAATGTTAGGAGTCAACAAAATAGAATTTTGTGAGTAAGTCATAATGGAGGAAATAAAAAACAAATAAGATTAGTTCTTGACTACAGTACTGAGATGATAAAGTATGTAGCAAAGTTTTCACAGAAACATAACTTTAATTTTTGTTTCAAAACATTATGTCCATAGTATGTAATGTCATGATGGAGCATGTTGTATAATTTTCTTCAAGTTAGAAATCAAAGGCAAAGCATAGCATTGAGAAAGGAAGAAGTGGTTCACTGGAACATAGAGAGCTTTGCTTTCTGAGTATAAGAAATCAGTCTAGGTAGGAATAGATCTCACAGCCCTACAATGCTGAAAGGGGACCATAGGGATAGTGGGTTAATTATTAATACATTCTAGGCCCCCTGAGATAGTAGAATAACTTACTTAGAGGTGTTTTTTTTATAATTATTTTTTCGGTGTTAAATCTAACCGGAAGGATATTTTCCCATTGATTTTTTAAAAATATTATTTTATTGATTTTTACAGAGAGGGATAGAGAGTTAGAAACATCGATCAGCTGCCTCCTGCACACCTCCTACTGGGGATGTGCCTGCAACCAAGGTACATGCCTTTGACCGGAATCAAACCTGGGACTTTTCAGTCTGCAGGCCGATGCTCTATCCACTGAGCCAAACCGGTTAGGACTGATTTTTTTTTTTTTAAGAGAGAGTGGAAGGGAGGGAGTTATGTGGAGAGAGAGAGAAACATTGATGTGAGAGAGACACATCAGTTGGTTGCCTCCTGCATGCACCCCAACCAGGGTGTGGGTAGAACCTGCAACCCAAGTATGTGCCCTTGACTAGGTGACTCCGGAGACCCTTCAGTGTGCAGCTCATGCTCAAACCACTAAGCAACACCCGCCAGGACTATTTAGAGATTTTAAGTTGTTTAATCCAAGTTGGCTGTCCCAAATTTTAATATTCAAAAGTATTTCACAAATATGAAAGATTTGAGAACAATTTCTAAAAGATCCTTTACAATTGATGCTAAGCTTCCTGATTGTAAAGAGGAAAGGAAAGAGAGAGGAACTATATTCTGTTTCATAGTCTTCAAAATAAGCAGAGCTTTCCTAAGATTTAGCTCTGAAATGAGCCTCTTCTCTGAGACCTGACCTAGGGGTATGCTAATCAGAAGTGCTACTGGAAGAGGTAGATGTTTCATCTTAGGGGAGGCTGGATGAAATCTAGCCCCCCACTTCAAAGCTCAGAGATTTATTTGTTCAGTGCTCACCTGATTGGGTTCTTAGAAATTGGTTCACACTAACTAAAATGCACATGAATTGGGGTAGGACCAGAAATACTAATTTATTCGTTTATAAGAAATGTTGCTGTGACTGGAGAAGTTCTCCCATAGGGTGTGATCAGCACATTTCCCTCTGTGGTCAAGCATGGGATACTAGATCATATTTAGAAGTCTCTTTACTAATTTATATGAGAGAGAGATGTTCTTTTACCAGGCATCTGAAACGGAGGTGAGAAAGACCTGTGTTAAACTTGGCTTTAAGACACTTGCCACATGCATTAAGACTGAGGAAAGAGGAAACAAACAGATTTATATAAAAGCCTGAAATAAGAAGTTTAAAGGCAAATATTCCATACCACAACCATATATTTGTCATGGAGCCTCTTCTTACAGAGGCAGAAACTGGGGCCACAAGGGTTAATACAGTTGAAGCTCCTTCTTATAGAAATATGAGGCTTGGGAAAATGAGGGTTTCCACCTAAGGGCTGAGTCTCTCTTCAACCTGAATAATTTGTGCAATCAGGTGGGGGATGGAATTTAGTTTGGAACTTTGTATTGATTGTTCTTTTGTTCAATTGACTTTTTAAAAAATGCCTATTTCATTACTGCACCATATGCTGGTGTGTTGCCTAGGTAACATAATATAGCAAGGGCTTTTTACTCTAAGGCAATGATGTATATCTGTGGCAGTCTGTAGGACTTCCTCAGGGTAGGCTGATGAATTATCTTGACATTTGAGTTATTTTTCAGTTCATAGTATTGTGATAACTTAGCAAAGCATTGCATAACCTTTTGAATATTTGTCTACTTCTGCTGGTTGTTTTATTAGGTTAGGCCATCCTGTTGTAAGGCCTTTTTATAATTTTGTGTGCTCTGTAAGAAAAAAAATTGTGAAATATTTTGCAATGGGCAAGAGATTTCCAGATATCCTTTGACTGGAATGCTAAAGCCTCTGGGGATTACCTGGTAGCCATACAGGGCTTCATAGGATTTGTTTTTGACTAGGTTATCTTACAACTTGTAGAGATAGAAGCTAACTTTTAAAACATTGATAGTAAGCAAATTGTTTCTGTCATAAACATGTAAAATTTGACTATTACTCAGTGCATATTGACCAGTTTTGCCAATTTTGCATTTATTTGTAAATTCATTTCAGCATTCCTTACTTGACTATAAATGTATAGCACCTTGAGTTCTCTCTTTTTAAATAAACTTCAAATTTTAGAATAGATTGAGATTTCCAGAAAAGTTACAGAGGTAGTACAGAGAATGTTCATATACTCCTCACCCAATTCCCCCTATTATTAACATTTCAAATTCCTCTGGTATGTGTTTGTCATGTCTACGGAATCATCACTGATACATTAATTAAACTCCATATTTTATTCAGATTTTATTAGTTTTTCTTTTTTTTAAGATAACTTCTATCTTTTTTTTAATATATTTTTTTTATTGATTTTTTACAGAGAGGAAGGGAGAGAGATAGAGAGTTAGAAACATTGATGAGAGAGAAACATCGATCAGCTGCCTCCTGCACATCTCCTACTGGGGATGTGCCCGAAACCCAGGTACATGCCCTTGACCGGAATCGAACCTGGGACCTTTCAGTCCGCAGGCCGACGCTCTATCCACTGAGCCAAACCGGTTTTGGCTTATTAGTTTTTCTTGAGGTTTTTTTTTTTTGGATCCCATCCAGAATACCACACTCCATTTAGTCATCATGTTTCCTCAGACTGTGATAGTTTCTCAGACT